ATTTGCCTAAATAGATATTGATACTTACAAATCAATACTCTTCAGCATAATCAACACATTTCCACTGCAATTCTATCATGTTGAGTGTACCAATCTTTCTACATAATTTACTTCTACAGACTTATTCAATTTTATTTTTTTTATACGTATAACTCTTTAATCTTTTTCTTAAACCTATATTTAAATTAGATTTTTTTAACAAAATCGAGTAGCTGTTATTGCGAAGTCATTATTGCCTATTAAATTTCCATTCATAATTATTTTATTAATCTATAGATAATTAACCCTTTTGATTTGATATATTCATATTCTTCATAGTTATCTCGGAAGTATTTTTTTTTGTTAATTGAATTAGATATTCAATTCTTGAAAGGTATTAATTAAGTGATTAAGTTATAATTTTTATTTTAAACTCTTTAGAAACATACCCAATTGTGTTTATGAATCGGAAATATGTAAATATGAATTGCAAATAAATGTATTTTCTTCACGAGTAATACTAGATGATGATGTTATTTACTTCAAATATAGTTGTAGAGTGTTTGAATAATATTATTTATGGCAACTTAAATCAAATTTATCAATATTTCAACCTTAGATATTTTAAATTTGATTTTATACTAATTATTATTCAAATTCATATATATACTACCACTATCAAACTATGAGAGCCTTGGCTTGTTTTATAAAAATATATTATTTTAAGTCAATAGAATGCTATGATAATTTCAATAATAATAACATGAAAAACATTTTAAAATATATTGTTGTTCCAAAAAATTTCAAATACTTTCATTTTATAATCAAGATATCAAGATAAGCTATTTTTATATTATTTGATAGAAATCATTTTTTGATGTTTTCCTTGTGGGAGGCATATTCTTTTTATAACTTAGTTATTATTTTGCATAAATTAAACTCAAACAAAAATCATATCAAGATTAGGTAAGAAAATTAGAAGACATCATTGTTATGATTGGGAATGGAAAATTCCATTTATAGCTAATGATTGATTATACTATATATAAAATATCTTTTATCAATTAATTCAAAACAATTTAACATAGACAAAAGCTAAATCTTAACTTTGGAGTTAAAGTTGGTAAATGTTGGAATTGATTTGATCAATTTATTTATAATTTTTTTCTCCTCATTCAGTTAATTTATGTAGAAGTTGATTCATACTTAGCATAATAACCATCTAGCTTAATGCTGAAAATTTTAATTCACTTCCAGAAGATAACATCTATTATAAAATTATATATAATTATAAATCTCTGAGGTTTAATTTGTAATATTTTCTAATAAAAACTTCTAATATTTTCTAATAGATGAATTGGATATAGATTTTCTAATTATAAATAAACCAAGGAATAAACTCTTAGAAAGATACAGAGAGAAGGAATTAAAGAATTCACTCATTACTCACTTGGCTATTTCTTCAGTTTATAAATTATAATGTAATTAACCGAGTATCCGCTCAAATCAAAGTAGAGTTTATTTCGATTAATTAAAATAAGAAAAAATACAATAATTAAATTGTAAAGCCTTTTAACAAAAGCAGATAAAACTCAATCAAATATTATATTAGATATATTGTTACTTTATTTATTTTTAAATACAAATTATACTAGATTTTTTAGAAATTAAAACTTTTTAGATTTTATTCAAATAAAATAACTTTAAGATTGGTCGATTAAGTATATATTTAACAAATATTTCTCTTTTGAAAAAGAAAATAAATAGTGTTAATTCTTTAAACATACTATATGATATTTTCGAGATATTTTTGGAAAGATATTTCAAAGAGTAATAAAACTTGATGTCCTTATAACTAGGAACCTTAAGTATTAAAGAATTTAAATTTAATGTTGTTTCGGAAACATTAACAAACGGAATAATGGGTAAATATACTAAATTTTTAATCAGATTTTATATTGTTTATTCGGTTACACAAACTTAAATATAAGAATAATTCAATAAATGAGCTCTGGTAGAATAACTTTTTCAATCACTCTTAATTTTTAAACCCCTATTGTGTTCAATTTGATCTACCATATTTTTTGAATTCACAATTCGTATTGATCATTTTTTCTTCACTTTCGCTATATCCTTCACTTTAAAGGGATATATTCAAAATTGCTATTATTACTTAAAGCCTTCGCATTGTCATAATCTTATGCTTTTATATGTTAATAATAATATGATACATATGAAATAGCATAATTTGTTAGGGATTTGCAACTCTTTATCAAGTATTTCACATCAATATTCAAGTCGACATAAGACTCATTCGATTAGAACTCGCACAATGAATTTTTTCTTCTTTACAATTTATAAGTATTAATTAATAGATAATTGGATGAACGAATTGTTACTTTAAAGCATATACTTATCATTCAGCACAATTACAATTAGATTAGTTAAAAATGAATAAGTTAGCTCCAAAATATATTCAAATTGCAAAGATAGTTTATTTGATTGTTTAGGTTTTGAATTAATATTTGTGAATACAAATGATTATGATATAATCTAGTATTCAAAAAAAGTTTGTTTTTTAGTCTTAGTTTAAATAAAAAATCATTATTCAAGGAAAAATAAAAAATCCTTTTGAGAGTTAAAGTTTACAAGAAAGGAGATCGATATAAATTCCAAAAACAAAGCCTTCTTAAAGTTTTTCAAAAAACAATTATTGTTTTTGGACTATTTTAGATTCTTTAAATAAGTCTAACATCTTAATCTGCTTATGATGAATTATGAGGATGAAACACAAAAAAGGTTGCTCAAATTTTAGACTTTATATTAAAAGATGTTTTGTTAAATCAATCTAATAAAGCAGACTCTACCAATATATATTCAAGTATTTTTATGCATTATTTATTATACTCAATACTAAATTATAAGGGAAGGATATTAAAATATATTATCTAAATTTTAAGAAGATTTATAAAGTGAAAAAAAAGAATTAAACAAATTCAAGAGAAAGTTAATTATCACTAATTTTAAAAACTGTTAAAGTATTTTATTGTTTTCTTAAGGTTAGTTTAAAGTAATATTTTACAAATAATATGAAATACAATATTTGAAAAAGTCAATTGAGCAGCATTATATTAAAGACATGGATTTTATAGAAGAAGTGAGTTTAGACTTTTTATTCACAATGTATGATAGCCAATGCATATTCGATCCGCTAACTAAATAGAAAGTTAAGTTTGAAAATGGTGTAGCATAGGGTTCCATATTAAGTCCTTTCTTATTTAAAATATTCTTTCATTATTTATTACATCAAGTACAAGCATAACAAATTCAAGATGAGGAAGAGATTACTCAAAGAAGTGAAGATTTTTGCAGCAAAGAAGCCATTGACATCGCAACTTAAATTTTTATCAAAGTTTTTGACTAATCAGATTTACATGTTTATATAAAAAAGACTAAATACATAGCCAACAGATGAAGAATAATAAATATAAAAAGTGGATTATTTCAGATACTTAGGATCGAGAGTCAACATAAGAGGAAATATCATCGTAATATAGAGATCCAAAAGAATGGCTTTTCTAAAGAAAATTCTCCCATTCAGAGTTACAACCAAGTTATAGATTCTATATGTTTTACCTCTAATAAGATATAATAGCCTAGTAATTTTAATTTTATCTTCCTTTTTTTAATTGTTAATATGATCCTATTGAGGAGCTTAAGATGGAAGAAAATGCAGAGAATTAATTAGATTTTCTTCATCTTTTCTTAAAGTTTCTTTTATTACTGAAGTACTAATATGGTTATGATACCAAAAAAAAACTTGCTTTTATCATTGTTTAAATTTTCCATCAGTATATATACATAAATTGATGTAATTTCAATTCTTCAAGAAGTATACATTTTTATCTATTAAATAAGAAAGGGAAATTATTACAGCAGGATTTCTCTCTACTATTTAGAGGAATAGTTCTTTGCAATAAATAGTAATTTTATGTATAAACATTAAAATGTGGTATCCAATTTTCAAATTTTTAGAAACTGGTTAAAATACTAAAGTATCATTAGTTAATGCCCACACACTAAAACAAATTATATGATTTTAATTCTCTTTTTCACCATTCAAAACGGATCACTTTTCTATTATATTAACTGTTACAACTCTAATACTGTTAATTGATTCCCCACTTCACAGTTCTATTTTGATTACAATAAGATTTTTAATAGTTTCTAAAATATATACAAAATATATTCAGTTTATTCTTATTTAATTATCGTTTCTTAATATGATCGTATTTAAATGTTCTTAGAATTTGATCCCAGGTTATCAAATACTTCCAATTTTGCATAACAGTACCAAATAGCCAGCCATTTGGTTAGAAAATTAACCTTCTATCCTTTTTTAGATATAAGAATTTGTTTATTATATATATAAACAAGACCCTCTACAATAATATCTTATAATTTGTTGAACACTTATGTATTTTCATCAAGCTAGTATAAGAAAAGACGATTTCTCGGTATTCTTGATTAAAATGCAAAAAGTCCATTAGTAATAAAAACTATTCTATATCCTTCCCCATCTAATATAATCTTCTATTTTATTTGCCATTCCATTTATCTTGATCCTTGCATTATTAATATTTAATTATCTTTACCACAAGAAATTAAAGTATTTTCCTCATTGTTTATAGATAATCCATAAATCATCTCTTAATGTTAATTAATGGTTTACATACACTACCATTAAGAACGCGAAGCTGGAGAAAATCGATCTAATCAAAAATTGATTGTTTTATCAAAAGAGCCGCTATGATTAAGTCTTCCTTAAGTGGATGCACAACCATACTTGATATAGCTTGCGCATTCTTCCTAAGTTTAAACAAATATTTTGGATTTGATATGAGATTTAAAGACCATATAATTATAAATCAATCTTCATAACATCAAATTAATAATGATCTTCTCTAAAGGAGATTAAGTTAAGAGATATTTCTTTACATTTTTGGAAATATTTAGAGTTATTTTTGTTTCATTAATTGGAATAAGAGTATTCTTACATGATTCTTTCCTCAAATAGCTAAGAGTGTTTTATTATGATTTATGGTTAAGCTTTAACAGAAATAATGATATTCATAAGTTTATAAAGGAGATGAGTTTTATTATATAGTTTTGACTAAGATTGATTACTTTCTTAAATTGAACAAACTCAAGAGATGATAAATATTTGAATACAAAATTCCATCAATGATGATATTCTGTTAGAATCATGATAAAAATTATATAAAAATGTGATAATATTTAAATTGTAAATTTCAAATGTTAAATTATTCATAAACTTTGAGCTTAGATTTAATTCAGAATGTTAGAGAATATGGTTTTTTACTACTTAATTATGTTTGTTACATATTTTAAAGATTTAGTAGCTTGTGATAATGAACTTAATTATTTATGATATAAAATATAATAAAATTTTGAATATAGATTATTATATTATTCTAATTTAAAAAGAATTCATATATTGATAAGTTTTTGGAAGCATCTCTAAATACTAAGTTTTCTATTATGTAAAATTAAATAACATAAATTAATAAAAAAATTATTATTTGGAACAAAAAGCCAATTAAAAATGGGTTTTTAATTAATTAATTTATCACTAATATTCTGATGTTGGTTGTGGAGTTTCTAATATTACAGAGACAATGATTACATGGTAATAGAGCGATCAACCATATATTCTTTTTTTTAAATTATAAAAAGACATTTATGACTAGAAAAATTATTTGAAATTGGAATACTAGAAATGTAAAATTAAGACTTAATTATTCTTATTCCCAACCTTATACTATAATGAAAAAAAAAGTTATAATTAAAAAGTTCAACAGCAAAATCTATTTTATTCTTTTAGAAAAATCAACTAAATAATTTACAGTTGATTGCAATCCTATTGAATATTCCAGTTGTGTATTTTTTGGTAATTTGTTTTAAGATGGAAGGTTTTTAGTCATTTTAGACTATTTGTTGAAAAAATACGAAAATTATGAATTATGTTATGAAAGAAACAAAATTTAATAAATAATATATTCATAAAATATGTTATTTGTTTTTGAATATGTAAATAACAGAAATTCAAAATTTTTCATTACTATTTAGAAAATTCTAATTAAAAATATCTTTAAAATCAAAAATAAATACATGATAGAATCATATGAATAATAAACAATAATAGAAATTTTTTTATGTAAACAACTAATTTTTGACTTTTAATGATTTTCTTGAATTTCAATTTTAATGTAATCGAATTTCACTTATCCAAGTTTTAAATCATACATTTTGCATATTTTAAGAAATCAATAATTATGCTTAAGCAGAGATGAAAAAGAGGAATGAATCTATCAATTATTGAATTAAAAAAATGTATAAAATACAATATTCATATCAAAATAAAGATATTCTATATTATCCAAAAATCAATCTATACATAAGTTGAACTGATTTATTGTTAGCCTATTTCATATCTATTTTAAACAATTACAAATTGAAAAAAAATGTGAACTTCTATTTTACAAAATAAAATATGCTTTTATCAATTTAACAGTATTTAACTTAAAATAAGAGTAATAGAAATTCAATTTTAACAATAATGAATTGTATTTACCACATACGAAATCCAATCTCTTCAATATGTATAGCTCCACATAAGTGCCAATGCTAAAGAAAACTTTGTGTAGAATGCCAATATGACCATGCAGTGGATATTTAAAAACAAACAGTCCCAATAAATAAATTTCAGGAAATGGCCATCAAGAAATTAAAATCCTTCAAGCTTGATGATACATCCGAACTAACAAAATAGAGAACGGCCTTTAAAGTCTTGTTTTCTTAAACTGAATAAATGCTGAAGAAAATTTGGGATGAGTTGTCACAATCAATCAAATATATTTACGATTGGATTGAAAAGGAAAACTAATCATACTTAAACCTCTTCAACGAA